TTTTTTTTTTGATTTTATATTTGTTGAAATTTCTTAGGAAGTTTCTGCTCGTTATCCAAATGATGGTAATCGTCTTCGTGATTTATCAATTGTTGAAGAAGGTGGTGATAAACGTATTAATATGGCTCATTTAGCTATTGTTGTAAGTAAAAATAATGATTTATGTTGTGAATAAAAAAAAAAAACTTTTATTTTATAACTTTAGGGATCTCATGCAGTTAATGGTGTTGCAAAAATTCATTCTGAACTTCTTAAAACAACTCTGTAAAAATATTTTTTTTATAATTTTATATAAAAAATATATTTTTCTTTTTGTTTATTTTAGTTTTAAATCATTTTATGAATTAACACCAGAAAAATTTCAAAATAAAACTAATGGTATAACACCTCGTCGTTGGTTAGTTCTTAGTAATCCAAATTTAAGTGATATTATTGCTGAAGTAAAACTTTTATTTTTCAATATACAAAAAAAAAAAATTTGTATTAATGAATTTTTTTTTTTTCTATAGAAAATTGGTGAAGATTGGATAACAAATCTTTATGAACTTCAACGTTTAAAAGATTTTGTTAATAATGAAGCATTTATACGTGATGTTCAACAAGTTAAACAAGAAAATAAACATCGTTTAGCTGAATGGCTTCTAAAATCACAACGTCAACAAATAAATCCAATGTCATTATTTGATATGCAAGTTAAACGTCTTCATGAATATAAACGACAATTATTAAATGTTTTACATATTATTACATTATATAATCGTATTAAAGCAAATCCAGATGGAAAATATGTACCACGTACTGTTATGATTGGTGGAAAGGTTTGAAATAGAATTATGAAAATAATCTTATTTTTATTTTTTGAATAGGCTGCACCGGGTTATCATATAGCAAAGAAGATTATTAAATTAGTAAATAAAAACAAAAAGAAAAAAGAAAAAATAAAGGAATTATTTATTTTGTAGGTAAATAATGTTGCTAAAGTTGTGAATAATGATCCAGTTATTGGTGATCGTCTTAAAGTTGTTTTTCTTGAAAATGTAAGTATATTCTATTTGTTTACATAGCTAACGAAGGAAAATTTTTCAATTGATAAATCGCTTTTGAATTAGTACATTACGTGGGCATGAATTCCCTCCGGAAACAGATCGTATCCTCCTCAGCTTATTACTACAGAGATACTGTAATTTTACGGTATTTTTCTAAATGAATATCATTATCGTCCTCGAGAAAATTTCAGGATAGAAGCAAATCAAAAGACCTGAAACTTTCACCTTATTAAGGCCTATCAAGTCGAAATTCAAAAATAAGTTTTCCCGATGTCTCTGAGAGTAATCACGGCATCCATTTAAAAAATATTGTAAAAGTGGAGTATCTTAGCAGCAATAAGCTAACAGTCTGAAATGTTTTCAGAGTATTCATACCTTATTTGAATCTACATAATGTAAATAGTTTCGACTCAACAATGGTTTATCAGTTGGAGAACATCTCCGGTAAGACGATTAGACAATCTATTCGATGTTTAGTTGAATCAATTCTCACGAAGAAAACTATTTCAAATGATAAATTATTTTTGAGTTGAAACTCTACGCATAAAGTAGATCTACACGGTTGGAAAAAATATTATTCCAGGGGGGTAATGCTATAATTTCAAATAGAAGACATAATAAATTTTATATCAAATGAAAGCTCGTTAAAAATGGGGTTTATTGGTATTAAATAGTGAGGGTTATGAAAACCTTTTAATGTCGAGCTTAATAAATTTTCAGAAATTTTATACTTTTTTTGTGATGGAAAATTAAAGTACTAGTGATTCAAGAATGGCGTAAAACGTTTTTCTTGAATATTTTTACACGGTTCGATAGAGCTCCTCGAGCTCTATAAAACTGTATACATTAAAAATTTTTAAGACACTTTTTTTGCGATAAAAAATTCAAAAACCTATTTGGAAAATCTTAGAAAACATGAAAAAAATTCATATTTTTCATGTGCAAGAACAACACTTACTTTTTCAAGAAAAGTAGCTTTTTTCATTGTTTTTACTCCGTCAGGCGTTTCGAAACATACTCATTAGACGCAGCTTTTCACACTGCATCGAA